CTATAATCAAAACTTCCTGAAAGTCCATTCGTCTTCCTTAGTATTTGTTTCTAACAACCCTGATCAGTTGTTAATTTGTTCAACTTAGTCATCTCTCAAATCTAGTTTCCCGCAAATGTCTGGTGGACCATGACAACCTATTCATATTAATAAAAGAAAGTCTACATTGATTAATAATTATCAGAGACATGGATTTCCTCAACAATTGTACTACTTTCGCTCCAAACCTAATGGATTAACTGTGGATCTCTGCAGGTAAGAGGCACACTGACAAACAAGCTTCCCTAATAAATGGAGAAAAAAGGACTTTTTTTTGCCAAAATAAGAGGGGGGGGGGTGTCCTTTTAATGTACATCAAACCTTGATGGAGCTTCCTTTCTTTCCCTCCCCTCACCCTACTCTCCTCTTCCAATCTATTGTGAGGGACCATTACCTAAAGTTCTGCTTTGTGCTCAAGTTCACTTTCCAATACCACTCAACCCTTCCCAAACCAAATCCACTACTTTGCTTAAAAAGCTGCTCTCATAGCTTCATCCAGGGAACTCATGCCATTACCAGAGCTCTTTATACGCGCAGTCCTCCACTCTACCAGCTGAGCCACTGCAGGGACCCAGAGTATTTTACATGAAGGGAGGGAGAGGAGCAGGGGAAACAACTGTCTCGAGTACCTTAATTATTTGCTCTCATGTTCCTTCTTCCCTACCCTGCTCTCTCCTCTCTATTTGCTGATTCTTAGAGGTTCAGGAACGCGGCCCTCCTAAAATAATCTCTGACTTCTAGCATGCAGCAGAGCTTCTATTTTGGATTATTCTGTTCTGGTTTCTCAATAAAGATAATCCAACTGCTTTCTTTTTTTTTTTTTTTTTTTTTCCAACTGCTTTCTATTACCCCTGGAATTCCTCAAATTTTTTAGCATTGTAACAATAATGATGGCAGCTAACATCAGTTCAACGTTGGCTAAACACAAACACATTTCTAAATGCTTTACACATATTATCTCTCTTGATTCCTACAATAACCCTGGATAAAGACAGGTACTAGCATCATCATCCTAATTTTATGGGAGAGGAAACTGGGACAAAAAAAGATAGAAAGAACTTGCCTATAATCACACATTAGGTAAATGTGGAGACTGGACTCAGATGTAGGTAATCTGACTTCAAAGATTCCCTTTTTCTATTTTTTAATACAATTATGATTATATCTTATGACTGTCATTTTCATTTATATCTGAGAAGTATGGGAAAGTAAATGGGTGCGTTTGGTTCATCATTCTGTAATGAAAATCCATTGTTTTTACTACACCAGTATTGTAATCACATCACACTTTTAATTGATAAACTATCTTTTAGAGAAGATACAAAATCTAGTGAAACAGCTCTCCTGACACCTGTGACTATGGCTTTGCAAAACAGCAAGGTAACTCTCCTTACCCACCCGTGACTATGCAGGTGCTTCTTTTTTTCCTTTCCCTAATAACGCTGTCTTTTTAAAACGTTTAAAAAAAAAAAAAAGGTCCCCCTGGTGGCGCAAGGGGCTAAGATGCAACCTATGAAGCTATCCGCAGCCACTGCAGCAGGAGTTCGATCCCTGGCCAGGGAGCTACCCACATGGCGCAGCAAACCTCTCCTGACTCGCCTGCTGCTCCCGTCAGCAGTGTATTTCAGTCAGTCTGCCTGTTCTGCTCCCCACCCTGTCTCTGGTGAATACTCTCACCTCCTGCATCTCTGGCCTGTACTCTAGTTCTTGCATGCATAAATATATAAATCTTTTTTTAAAAAAGTTTAAAAAAATCTAGTGAAAGAAGCTAGTGGCAAGAAAACGAGCTCTATGAAACTGTTCAATCAGAATCAGCAGGGGTAATGTATAGGATTCCTGAAATGAGAGGCTTGAAAGTGTCAATTTCACAAGTATAGATAAGTTTTTTTTTTTATCTAAGAAAAGCATTTTCATATTCTCAGCAACTCATTACTGTCACCATGATCAGAGAAAAATTTTAGTCCCATCCTATTCCCTGACAGCATCCTTTTTAATAATTTGATTCAATTCAAATTATTAAATTTGGTACATATAATATACCTACATACAATATACCTACGATGTGCACTGTACTACAAACTGAAGATAAAGAAAGGAAAGGCACTGTCCCACCATCCCTGCCCTTACAGAGCTTACAGTCTAATGGAAGACAGGGACCAGTAAACAAGAGACTACAGTGTGCTAAGTGCTGGCACAGGTAGGTATAGAGAGGGTTCCGTCAGAACAAGGAGACAGGACTGCTAAGGAAGTAACCCAGGAAATAACTCTTAGACTAAATGTTCAAGGATATACTATTGTTTCGAGGAGTTTACCCTGCATTTATCATTTACTCCCTCAAATCTGCCCCTCTAGTCACCTACATAACACCTGGTAAAGAGTGTCAAGGCCCATACAGAAAACTAGGAGCTTCTTGACTTTTTCCACCTCCTCTTCAATTAGTCATCAAGTCTCACGGAATTCCACTCCCTCATCTTTCAAATCAATTCCCTGCTCTCTGGCCCTGCTACAATTAATTTAGTTTTAGCCTCCATCATTGCTCACCTTGATCACTATAATAACATTATACTGGTATTTCAATTAAATCTCTTCACTAGTTAAAAAAAAAAGCAAACTGATCCAGAAAACTCCACGAGCACGATGTGCCACTGGCTCTAGCCCCCCTTCACTCTTTCCCACTATGTGGAAGATCCTACACCATGCTCTATTTTGCCTAATCGCCTTTACTCAAGCTGCTTGGTCCTCATGGCTTGTGATGCTCCATTTCTCCCTTGCCAACACCTGCTCAGCCTTGAAGCACATCCCTTCTGAAAAGTCACCTTGATGGCAACTCCTCTCTCTCCCTCCTGCCTACAATCTGGGGCAACTACCTCTTCGCTGTGCACCCCTGCCATACTACCTCACCAGGGCACTCATCACAAAGAATTAAATTTGAAATATTCTATAACTGTCTGTTAACCTAGTTCTTTATTCTCTAGATCACTGAGCTAGCACCGTGCCTGTTCTATGATAGGCAATCAAGAATATTGAAAGAACAAAAGAATGAACTAACGAACTAAAGAAAGAAGATAGTTACATCTGAAAGCTCATGAGGTAACCAAAGGAGATAATGGAGAGGACAGAGGGAACACTGGAGCATACCCACCTTAGTAGGTGGGGAGAAAGAAGCTAGTGGAGGAAACAGAATGAACAATTAAAGAGGTAGGAAGAAAACAACTAGAATTGTACAGTAAAGTAATCCAAAAGAAGAGAAAAATTTAAGAAGGTGCAGGTGGTCAACAGCATCAAACACTACACAAACAAGTCAAAGAAGGTGAGGACTAAGACCAGGTCGCTGACAGAGGCAGTCACTGGATGTGGATATTGCCCATGCTGAGTTTACACTGCCTTCCTCAGCAGTCTCAAGGACCATCTTTCTCAGCCATTGTGAGGCAATTTAGGGTCAATAAAATAACCAGTGGTAGAAAACTTACCTGTGCTAATTTCTTTGTTCCACATTAGGAAATTGAGAAACAGAAAACATACAAGAGAAAATAAAATCCCACCACCAAAGTATAATGTTATTTCACTACTTCCTTTCACTTTTATATCTGTATATAATTGACATTATATTAAATTCTATAACCTAATTATTTCTTAATTATATTAAGTCAACCCAAGTTAGCTTTCTCGTTGTAAATCAATAAATTAGTATCCTAATTTATAAAAAAGAAAAAGTGTTAAAGAATTAGATGTGCCTATTTGGCAACATGTGCACATTTTTTCTGTCACATAACACAATTTTTAAAATTACCTCTGAATTTATAACAATAAAATTATTTATTCAAAAAGGTACCCACCCTAAGTATCTTTTCATGACCCATTTAGGTTTCATCTTACTCTTTTCAACAACTGGAGTTCAACTGTTTAAAGTAGGTTAGCCACTAGGTATAGACACATCTATAGGAGCTGCGGGATAAAAAGCTGCCTCTTTTTATAATTTCTTTAGTCAAAATTAAATACACTGGCTTATAAATTATTTAATAAAGTTTAAATCACAACAATAAACATGCTTATGTGATAATCTGTTTTATCTAGAAAAATAGTGTGAACTAGAATTTTCAATTCTCTTCTGAGATTTTCTTTTTTAGTATAGACTATGTTTTAGAAGGAATTCAGCATTTCTAAAAGTAAGATTTACTAGGTCAAAGGATGTGAACATTTTTAAGGCTTTTGATACATATTGCCAAATTGAATCCAGAAAAATGGTGTAAAATTTCTACTTTCTTCTACTATGAGCCTCATTTCCCCATTACTCTTGCCAATGCTGAGTATTCTTATTTTTTAGTCTTTGTCAACCCAATAGGTGAAAATAATCTTATTATCTTGATTGTCATGTTTGCAACAAGAGTGAAAATAAATATTTGTGCATTTATTGAGCTTTCACTTTTATGAATTGATTATTCATGTTCTTTTACCTATTTTTCTAGTGGGCATTTACTTTTAAACTATTGATTTATAATAACTCTTTATATATGATATTAACTATTTGTTGCAAATATTTCTTTCCTTAGTCTCCCTCATCTTTTTATTTTTGGTTTTTAACATGAAGTTTTTAATTATATAGTCACATAAACTAATTTTTATTTCTTTCTTAGAATCATATTTAGAAAATTCTTTCCCACATCTGTCTCTTATAAATTATTCAAAGTTCTTCCTAACAGGGTTACAGAGGAATAATATGGATAACAGTGAAATTTCTTTCAACCATCTAATACACATTAAGAGACTTTAACTTCCTAAAACTTACAATTCCACAACTGGTCAATATGAAACATAGGTTTAAAATTTAGCTCTAGATCGTTCTTATTCCAATTTTAGCTGTTTAGACAATTTTTAAAAACCAAACTTTTGAGTTTAGAAAATTCATTCAAAGTTCCCTTTAACCCATATGAAGTACAGATCTCTTGCTAGTTATCACCCACCTCTCAAAAACCTGTTAGGGATCCTTATGATGGGACAGGACTGAATGAAGCGCCTCCTAACTGGGTCCCATCGTATTTTCTTCTTACCTGTTACCACAATTATCAGCAATAAGTCAGACACATACAACACATGGCAAATAATACAGTTACTGTAGTTATAAAGACAGAAAAACAGGAAACAAAACAATACTTGAATACAGAAAGAAGTGATGTAAAGTAGCATTTAACCCTGTTTTGGAAGTCAAAACAAAATTAAATTAGTATATAAGCAGTGATGAAGGTTTTCAACAATTATCCCCAAAAGAATATGAACAATTGTGTGCACCATTGTTGAAATTCTGGTTCAAAAGCACAAGCATTCAATAATCACCAATGCCATCTTGTGGCAAAAATTCACCACGAGTATTTCAAACAGATTAGAGATTATGACATTTTTAAAAGTCAGTGAATGTCAAAAAAGGAGCTCTGACTAAAATTAACTTGGCATAACATAGGCTCCTGTTCTCATCCAAATTTGGGTATCATTGTTTTATCAGTGATACGGTTAGCACCAGGCACCATTCTTAAAATATGAAATAATCTAATCTATCTTGCTATAATTAAAATGTTATGGTAACTGGTAGCAACCAAATAAAACAAACATTTAATATCCTGGCACTTCCATGCAAGTTGGGAATGCAGTGAGGATTTACCTGCCTTTTAATTTGCCAGGGAGCAAATTAGCTCCACACTGACCCCAACTCATACTTGTTTTCTTATAAAACATAAGAAAAATGCAAAGCATTATATATAGAACTGCTAAGTGAGACAATTTTGTCTCTTCCCAAAGTTTTGATAGCTCCCAAAGATAGCTTATTGACAATAAAAACAATTAACATTTGTATAGTATTTAAAGTTTACAAAGAGCTTCCACACATTATTACCTCATTTGGTTCTCACCACAATCCCGTGTGGATGCAAGTCATTTCATTAAGCACCTGTTTTGCTTTGAGTCCTAAGCCAGGCTCTAGGGTTGCAAAAGGGTAAGACTGCTACCCACAAGAGCACATGGTCATTTGAGAAAGGCAGATGTCTAATTAATAATTGCATTACAGCTAAGTAAATGCTGTAAAAACACTCTGAGGAAGATATTATGATCTTAATTTTACAAGGAAGCTTAAGAAATTAAAGGAAAATTAAATGACTTAATGCCAAAGCCAGGATTCAAAAGCCCAGACTTTGTGAATTTAAAGCCTGCCACCTTTCTACTGCACCACACCTACCCTATCTCAAATTCCTTAGAAAGTAAGTTGGTTTTGGTTTTGGCAATTGGAAATATATTGATAGTCATCAGCAAGACCTGCTTACTGTAGTACTGGCACATAAAGATACACAAATTCTGTATAATGAAATAGCATTACCTACACTTGTGTACTTAATATTTTGGAGAAGACAGACTTGTAGGAAAGGGGTAGAATTATATATCTACAAAAGGACTTATCTTTTAATCCTCTAAACCTTTTAAATCAGTAGTTCCCAAATGCTGAACTACAGGCCTCTGTCTAGGTAAGGTGAAGGTTCACCAGTCCAACACAAAAGAGAAAAATATGGACATGGCAGTGAGTTTTTCAAAAAATTAATAATGTGCTCCATTTAAGTCCTGTCCTTTTTTTCAGAGATCTGAAATTTTCTGTTATTATTCTTTATTTAATGAGATAAAGTGATAGAAACAGTAGCTGATACTCTTTTCTTGGAGAGAGAAAATTTGCAAGCCTATGTATATCCCATATATATACATATACATATATACATATGCACATATACATATATATTCATATACATATATATATATTTAATATAGGTTTATGACATCTAAGTCCGTAGAATCACAGTTTTAAGTCAATACAATATTTGTTGATGACTCGTAAGTCCAACACTGTAAACCACACTGTCAAAGGATACATAAAATATATAAGAAACTTCCCTTGCCCTCAAGAAGCTTATATTCTAATTAGGGAGACAAGACAGACACATAAACAATTAGATAGCAATACAAGACAGAATATAACAGGTGATTAGCTTAAAATTTGACATTTTTATGTATCAAAAGCATTAAAATGTACATACCCTTTGACCCAGCTATTCCACTTCTAGGAACTTATTCCTAAAGAAACAATCATAGATGCATGGAAAGATGTATAGACAAAGATACTATGATATTATTTATAATGGCAAAAAACTGGAAACACTTTCAATGTCCAATGATAGGGAGATGGTTAAATAAGTATGCCAAATAAACATACACATCCTACATATAATATCCTACATACCAATAAAAAGTATATACAAGAATATTTACTAATATGAGAAAATATTCACAATATATTGCAAATGAAAAAAGGAAGGTACAAAATAGTACTAGAATATACCATTTTAGTCAAGAAAAACATGTTTGTATATATTCATGAAAAATACCAGGATAGACATCAAATTTTAATTGTGGTTATCTTTGACTGGTTATTAGAGTGAATTTTGTTTTTTTCGCCTTAGTGCTGGTCTTTATTTTCCAAGCTTTCACTGAGTAGGCATTACTTTTGGACTGGAAGAAAAACAATACCACATTACTATAAATTTTTTAAATTATATAAATACTGTAAAGAAAAATACCAAAGTATCAACAGTGCTTATAATTGGGGTTGGGGGTTATCACTCTTTTTCTATTATCAAAAATTCCATGACATTTTATAATGGAAAAATATAAAACAAATTTAGAGTAACACTGAGGTAATAACAATGAATATTATTGAACCCAGGTTGATTTAAAAATCATTTTTTAATATTTTCTCAGACCTCTGTCAAAGATGTTTAGCCTGACTGTCTCACAACAAACAACATAAGTCTGTCACAGGTATAGGTTAATGCTGACTCTGTGAATTGTTATTCATATAATGCAGGCGCTGATTTCAGAACCCATATTTTCTTCCTTCACCCAAAAAGCAGAAAAAAGAGAAACCAGTAACACAGTCAATATATGCCTTCCTAATTTCATATAAATGCATTCTGATATTTTGTTTACTGATGCTTTTATTTTTACATATCCAAAACCACCCATCTTCATTTGTGATTGCTTCCATTCTTCAAAACAAAAACAAAAAACAATTTCTTCAATGAATTTATCAATATTCTATTTTTTTGCTAGACTTTAAAATATCATCCTTTTATTAAGTTTTTTTCACTATAAATATGACACAGTCATTGACTGAATCCAGATGGTAGGCTGGGCATAATATGAGCAAGTTTCTCTTCCTCCAAAGTCTGGCAACTACTTAAAATCATTTTTTAAAATCTTTAATCAAAAGAAGAAAAATTACCTTAGTGGACTAAGACCATGAGAAATAATTGAAAGATGAAAAGCTGATAGAATCAGCTTAAAAGAAGAAACTATAGTCCCATATACTCAAGAGTAGAGGGCTGTTGCAAGTGGTCTTCAGAGAAAACCAAGCCCAGAGGTGGAAGACAGCAGGAAGAACTGAAACAATTTACAGTATGACTGGTAGGGCAGCATAAAATTTATAAAGCAGATGAATCTTTCTCACCCATTCTCATCTTTGGGTCAAACTTTATAGAACAGACGTATTTGCTCCCAAATGGGAAAAGTCACATCAAACACAAAAGGTGCCACTCCCAGGTAGGAACAACGAGTATAAGCACTTGAATTAGAAAGGCTCTGTTCAGAGCCCTGTGTAGATATTAACTTCCAAGCAGATGAGGGCATAGTCACACCAAAGAAGGCTGGAGATTGCTACATCGCATCTTGTTGCACATTCCATCCCTAGTTAATATGAGTGGAGACCTGCTGCATTAATAGATACAAGATTCACAGGAAGGCTAATAAGGACTCTCAAATAAAGATGAAGACAAAATTCAGACTCAAACATGAACGAGAGAGGCATTAGTGTAACAGACAGAAGAACCTACACGCAAAAAGAGTTAACAAGTTAAACACAATTAAGACTTTAAATTAAATACAATTAACATCCTCAGAGATATGTACGATAATACATTTATTTTAAAAAGAAATCAACTTGAGATCTTAGAAATCAAATTTCGGTAACTGCACTAAAAAATTGAATAGGTTAAGACTGAAAAATGTAAACAGTTTAAGAGCAAATTAAATTAGTAATCTGAAAGAGGGAGTCAAGAAATTTACCAGAATAATGTATAGAAGGAAAAAGTAAAAAGTAGTTTTTAAAGTTAAGATATAAAGATAACTGAGCAAACTATCAAAATTCCAATTAACTTTTCCTGCAGGAATGGACAAACTAATGCTAACCTTCACATGAAAATGCAAGAAATCCACAACACTAAACAACCTTGAACCTTGAAAAAGAACTAAGTTGAAAGACTCAAGACTCACATTTATTGATTTCAAAACTGACTATCCCGTATTCAAAAGAGTGTAGTCCTGCCATAAGGAAGGAACAGAATTGAGAGTTCACAAGCAAACCCATGTATCTATAATAAGAGATGGAAAGTCTCACTCTGAGAACCTAAAGATACGTTAGAAGTCAGTCCCCTCTGATTTTCTTAAAATCACAAAGATTAGTCACACTTGTTGCAAAAAAGCAAAACAAAATGGAATACCTGGTTTGATTTTTATCAAAATGGATTATCACCACACACCAGTCAGAATGAGTAAAATTAAAAAGTGAATATTGGCAGAAATACAGAGAAACTGGATCACTCACACACTGCTGGTGGGACTATAAAATAGTATAGCCACTCTGGAAAAGAGTACAGCAATTTCTACAGAACTAATTTTGTTATTCCCACACAATCCAGCAATTACAGTGTTGGGTAATTTATACCAGAGAAATGACAACTTATGTTGACACAAATACCTGTACGTAAATGTTCATAGTAGCTTTACTCATAATAGGCAAGTGAATGGTTAAACTGACTACAGTATATCCATACCATGTATACTACTAAGTATCAGTGAACTATTGATGTGTGTAACAACTCGGATGGTTCTCAAAGGAGTGCTAAATGAAAAAAGTCAATGTCAAAAGATTAAATATTGTATGATTCCATTTACTGCAAAATTCTGTTTGCTCATTCTTGAAATGACAAAATTTTAGAGACAGAGAACAGATTAATGGTCACCAGCAGTTCACAGGGGAGCTGACTGGGACTATAAGAGGTGACATGAGGAAGCCTTGTGATGGATCTGTTCTTTTTCTTGCCTAGGTCATCACACACATCCACATGTGATAAAATTGGATAGAACTTAATACGCTCACATACACTTACAGTAATCTTAGTCACAATTTGATACCCAAATATGTGTCTAACAGAGGCATTTGACAAATACTTGTTCAGTGAAGGAATGACTGAATATGAAGGCAGTGACTCTCACCCAAAGGTACTCTCCCAATCCATCAAAGAAGTTGCCACAAGGAACATACTGCCCCTCATTAAGAAGCAAAATTATAGTAGGTCATTGTAACTAATGGAATAACTGCTATTTCCCATCCTTTAGGTTTTTAGGAGTTAAAAAAAAAATGGCTGAGAACAACTGTGTTGCAACTTGAACATGCAAATAACTTTAAAGGTCTTCAAGCTAGGATGTGAGCTTTAGGGAGTTACAATATTAAGGTAAATGCCCCAGACATCAGATCTGTTATATCTTTCGTCTTTATACCCCATGTTTATTATTACTATATTTCAAACATTCTGTTTTCATATGTATCTGTTTAAAAATCAACACAAATATTTTTTGCACTAAAATAAATGGCAAATGAAAATTGCTGCTTCTTACCCCTTCTCTGTTGCTTGCCATTTCTGTTGTTCATTAAAAGTTCCCTAGAGTTTTCTGTTTTCTTTCATTTCAGTCTCATCTCTTCTGAGACTACCCCTCTGACATTGGTAGAAAAAAGTAAGGCTATAACAGATTTCTATCCTTCTATAAAAGTTAAGGTAATCACAGCACATTGCAATGTCATTCTTCAAAGTATGCTTCAAATACTTTATTTTTATTTTAAAATAAAGTATTACTTCATTTTAAAGTTGGTTGAGGAGTTTTGCCTTTGGAGCAGAGAAGGTAGAAAGGAGGAGTTGTGTTGAGTTCAAGCAGTTCCAAAAGGCACATGTGACCCTGAAACCAGCGTTCACAGTGGCTGCAGCCTCAGCTATACTCCCCTTTCTTAGAAAGGGTAAAAAAAGAAAATGTGTTTTACAGAATAAAATTAATCAAAAAGTATTACCATTAATAGACCTGCAATAATTTAAATCAGACTCTAACAAACAACTATCTTAGGAAGACTCTTGATTTAAAAAAGCATCATCATATTCTTTTGCATTAACTTTTTAAAATCAATTTGTCAGTTGTTTCCACATCTGTGTAATTTGGGGGCTACATTTTTACTCCTCCGTGTGTGCACATGCTTCACTCATGCCCCCCCCAAACTTCCTGTGTTGATGTCCTATCTCTTTCCTTCTCCCACCCCCTTCTCACCCCATGTGCTGTTCCCTGGGGTAACTAGTATATTTTTCACTGGGTCTAGGAATTTTTTGCTGTGCTTTGCCAGTATATGTTTCTTGGTTATTTATATTCCACAGTTAAGTGAAACCATCTGACATCTGTTTCACTTCTTTCTGACTTATTTCACTTAGCATAATCATTTCAAGGTCCATCCATTTTGTCTCAAAAGGCACTATTTCATCTTTTTAAATAGCTGAGTAGTATTCCATTGAGTATATACCCCACAATTTCTTTATCAAGTCATCTATCAGGGCACTTAGGCTGGTTCCATGACTTGGCAATAGTGAAAAGTGCTGCTATGAACACAGGAGTACATACGTCTTTTTATAACAGTGCTTTCACTTTTTTTTTGCTAAATATACTCTTTTTTTATTTTTTTTTAATAGAGGCATGTTATTTATTTATTTATTTGTTTGTTTGTTTGTTTTATACATGCACTGGGTACAGTCAGAAGCGCGGGAGGGTGAGAGAATTCACCAGAGCCAGAGCGGGGAGCAGAGCAGGCAGAAGGACCGAAGTACACTGCTGAGGGGAGCAGCGGGCGGCAGGAGGTCTGCGCGCCATGTGGGAACCTCCTCAGGTGGCCGGGGAGCACCCGGGGATCGAACGGGCGCTGCGGAGGCTGAGGGCAGCTTCGCAGCCCGGCGCTCAACTGCTACGACACCAGGGGAGGCCCTGCTAAATATACTCTTAATGTCTATAAATGGCCGCCAAAACTTTGAAATGAATTTTGTAAGAAAGCCCCCACTTCTGGGCTAGTTTAATCCTTTGATAGGAAGAATTAATTATAATTACATTATAAGCTATATTTATACTAACTGGTCTCCAAAACTTGTAATTCTGCAGTTCTCAATGGAATCAGAAATATCCCAAGAATTTTAGAACTTACCTAGTGCAACAGTTCCTGAGATGCTAGGCTAGCTAATTTGCCATAAGCTTGTTAAAAAGAATGATTATAAAACCAAAAAGCAGATTACCAGGCCCATTCCAGTACGTCTGGCATATTAACTTCAGTAGGAAATTTTTAAAAATTATTGGTTTTCTTCCCAGAAAATATGCACATCTAGTCACAATATTATATATGATATAATCCCCTGAAAGACTATTCACAGGCTCATAAATTGATGGACCCCAGATTAAAAACATAAAAAAGAATTTAGAAGCAGAATGTTCTAATTGTTTTCAAAAGGGTAGTTAAGTGGAAAAAGGACTAGATTTATTCCACATTCCGCCACAAGAAACAACCATGAGGAACTCATAGAAGTTGCAGCTGAATTTAAGGAACTCTTTCTAATAATTAGAGCCAATAAATCATCTCACTGCTCTCTTCACAGAGTAATGGGCAGCCCATTAATCTAGGAGGTTGAAATTAAGTAGACCTCTTTAAGACAGAGGTTAAAAAGAAGATTAGGACTAACTTCTAAAGGATTCCCATATTTGAAGGCAAAGGTAGTGCAAAATAACTTTTTCAATTTTAACACTTTATGATTCTAAGAAGTCTCAGAAGAGGGGGAAATGAAAAAGGAATAAGACAAAAAGTCAATTTAAAAATATTTTTAGCAGATGGGGTATAGGCACAGGTAGTTTGGTGGAGAGAAAAAAAGAGAAGGAAATTCCACAACTCAACATACTCTGTATGTACTGTTAGCTACTTTAGGATTACACAGCTAAACAGATGAAATTCTAAGATACAATGAATTAATTTTTCTCACTTAGTGATATTCCTTCCCAAATTAGCCTCTCTCTCACCCTTTTTCTGTAACTCTTTCACCTTTAGACAGACAAAGAAAAAAAGGATCCCTGGTGAAAATTCTTATTTCAGCTTACAAAAAAAGTTTTTTAAACCTCTTATAGGCTGTTTTCAGTGTTCAAAATAATAAGAATAACAATAATAAAAAACTCCAGTGCCTGCATTTGTGCTCTATAGTGTATCTGCCAATGTGTCTGTCTTAACTACAATCAGTGAATCTGTTAACACTGCCTCCTTTCTTTTTATCTCCAGCAAAGTTTTATTTAAAGAACAGTGATATTAGAAAGCATCCGATAACTCTAAATTAGCCAAATCAGTTTCTTTACTAGCAAAGAAATATGCAAATCCTGATTATACTGAAGTAAAATTTTACAGTAATAACACACTCAAAAGTCATACTATATTATTTGGTCTTTTCTTGCTTCTGGATTTTTTGCACTCTAAGTTGAATATCCACAGAGTAACCTCTCTCCCCAAAAAAATGAGAAAGAGAGAGGGAGAGAGAGAAGATGAATGTACAAGGCGAAGAGACACAATGTGAAAACAGATTTTTAAATCAATACATTTGACAATGCCTGATGAACCAAAATTTTGCAACCTTCCTCTAAGGATCACCAAAAATGAGTTCACTTTTTTCTCTTCCCTACCACCATCCCTTGTAGCCCCTTGTCCGATTCCCTACCTCTCCCTCTGAACCTGAGAGTCCTCACGGTGTTCACTGAACTTGTCCTACATTACCAAATTGTCTGCTATTACTATAACTACTACACTTAATTCTCTTAAACTCCCTCAATTTTATTGAAAATGGCTACATATCAGCCTTTCTTATGGATGACTAGTACTCCATAGTGTGGCTATACCATGTCCTCTTGATCCAAACATCCATCGATGAGCTTCCGTGTCCTAGCTATTATGTCCTAGCTATTGTATACAATGCTTCCTTGAACACTGTAGAACAAATGGATTTTTGTGTTGATGGTTTCATACTCTTTTGACACATGCTCAAGAGTGGGCTTTGCTGGGTCATATAGTATTTCCATTTTTAGATATTTAAGGTAAATCTAGATTACTTTCCATAGTGGCTATACCAATTGATAGTCCCACCAAAAGACAGTTCCTCTTTCTCTGAATCCTCTCTAACACTTGTTGGGGGTATTTATAATACATGCTATTCTCACAGGTTTGAGCTGGCATCTCATTGTATTTTTAACCTGCCTTTTTCTCATTGGAAGAAATGATAGAAATTTTTTCTTATGTCTGCTAGCTTTCTGGATATCCTCTTTGGTGAATTATCTGTTCATATCTGCTGCCCATTTATTAATTGGGCTGTTTGTTCTTTTTATAGTTGAACTGTGTGACCTTTTTATATATTTTGTATATTAATCTCTTAACAATTACACAATATGTGAATATTTTCTCCCATTCAATGGATGCCTTTTTAATCATCTTGTATTTCTTTCATTATATGAAAGCTTTTTAACTTGAGGTAGTCCCCAATTGTTTATTTTTGCTTTTATTTCCTTTACCACAGGCGTCAAAACATCGCTTATCATTGATGCCATGGAATATATCACTCATGTTTTCTCGGATGTATTCTATTCCATTTGGAGTTTATTTTTGTGTATGAGGTTAGTGAATGATCCAAACTTATTCTTTCAGATGTAGCTGTCCAAATTCCCCAGCAAAGGTGAAAAATTCTTTAGAAACACAGGTCCCTGGGCCTCCCTGGTGGCGCAAGGGGTTAAGACGCAACCTATGAAGCTCGCCGCAGCCACTGCAGCACGGGTTCAATCCCCAGCTAGGGAGCTACCCACATGGCGCAGCAGACCTCTCCTGACTTGCCTTCTCTCTCCTCAGCAGTGTATTTCAGTCGATCTGCCTGTTCTGATCCCCACTCTGTCTCTGCTGAATCCTTTCACCTCCCACAACTCTAGCCTGTACCCCAGCTCTTGTATGTATTAATAAATCTTAAAAAAAAAAGAAAAGAAAGAAAAAGAAACACAGGCCCCACCCTATTTCTGCAGGTGAAACTGAAGAACAAAAGAGAAAGAAATTTGCAATTTCTAACAATTATATGACTGTATCTAGAAATGTCATTTATTTATTTTGCTAGTCTGTTCCTTGATTAAAACTAGAAAAATAATTTTGAACATGAGTGAAAACCATTCTTTATGTACTCATTTTCTCTTCTCTCAGGTTACCATTTTCTGTTGGCAAATGCAATGTCTGCTAAGAACATACCTAGACGTGACCAAAGGCAATAAAATCTTGTGTTGCACTAAATCTGACCAAAAGCAATAAATATTTACTAAATAATAAACTTCAGTCTGATATTTTAAAAACTTTTTAAAAGCTTAATATATTAAAAAGAGCTATTTTGAAAAACTATGCAACAAGCAGAGGTCAACATAAATATCTTAAATGCAAAACTAAGAAATATCAAATATGAACTGCCAAAGACATGATTTCTAGTAAGACATTTGCATGCAGCATTTCATTCAGATATAACAGCTATTCAGAAATAAAAATTTTGAAAGATAATATTTCATAAGAAAATTTGCCTTAAAGCATTTTTTTTCTATTAAGAAAGGTAAATTTTAGATTTAGAATCATAAGCAAGCAGGGACCTACCTGGTGGCACAAGGGGTTAAGCACTGCACTATGAAGGAATCTGCAGCCTCTGCACAATGAGTTCAATCCCCAGCAGGCCAGGGAGCAACCCACATGGCGCAGTAGACCTCTCCTGTCTCACCCACTGCTCCCCTCAGCAGTGCACTTTGATCAATCTGCCTGTTCTGTTCCCCATTCTGTCTCTGGTGAATTCTCTCACCCCCCACATCTCTGGCCTGTACCCCAGCTCTTGTATGCATAAATAATCTTTTAAAAAAATCATCACTAAGCAGAAAAATATTTATTTAGTTTTAAGAAGTAATTTTACTCCCTGAATGGTTTTCTCAATGTTTTACCTTATATATACACATGTATATAAAGCTAAATATATGTTTACCCCCTAAAGTGCCAATGTTGGAGAACACATTAGAAATTTCATATTCCTGTATCAGTTCTGTGTATTTGTCTACATTAAGGAATCTGTTTTATGTGCCATCAAGATAATTGTGGGTTGGTGTTTGATCAATTATACATCTGATTCAAACTGAGTTGATAATTTGTTGATGAAACCATATGGCAGGAGCTACCATGGGTAAAAAAGGAAATAACTCAAGAATGTACATTCAACTCCACAGACTATTTATCTCAAGGACTATTTCTTGCTAGTCATCATACCTCTAATTTCACTGTCTAGACTCATAGACAACTCAATGTTTTCATCGTAGATAAGACTTGGAGCACATTTATTGATATATAACAAATACAATAACACGAGACTAGGCTGGATTCTAAATCCAGGAAGTCATGAAATGCTTTTGATCTGGGAGCAACAGAATCATAGTTACACTTTAGGAAAATTAATCTTGTGTAAGTATCTAAGATGGAATAGGGACAGAAGACTGGTGACATAGAAAGGGTCAAAAAAAAAAAAAAATAGGGCAAAAAAGAAAGATGGACAAGACTGTGTGACCAAGGAATCAGGGGTGAAGGTGAACAAAAGGAAGGAATCTAATGTGATTCCCAGGTTTCTGGCTTGAGTCACTAAATTGATGACGTAGCTATTCAATTAGGGAGGATAAGAAACACAGTAAGAACATGTTTGGCAGGAAAGGTGATGAAAGTGGTTTTGGGCATGTTGAATTAAAGGTACTCATCAATCAATTGGGTAGCAACACATGGTAGCCATTAACAAACAGGCCAGGCAAAGAGGTCTTGGCTAGAGTCAGATTTGGGTGTTGTCAGGAAAACATAAGAGTAAGAAGGGAAAACAAATATATAACCAAGATATAATCTTGGGTAGCAACTAAGGGAGAGATAAAGGAAAGCTAATGAGTTCAAGGGATAAAAGGAGAACGAAGAGCTCTTCAGGAATACAGACTTTGTCTAATTACTGTGTATTCCCAGGCTCTACTACAGAAGGTAGCCAAAATCAAAATTTACAGAAGTTGGGTAGGATGAAAACTAAAAGGTATCTAATGAACTTAGCCATTAGAAAGTTATTACCTTAGTCAAAGCACTTGAGTAGAACAATGAAGGCAGAAGTGAGACTGCAACAGATTCAATAGGGAAAAAAAATGAAGAAATTAAAATAAATATTCTTTCTGAAAGCTTGTCTGTGAAGGTCAGAAGTAAAATATGACATCAACTAGGAAAAAAAAACCTAAAAGTTTATTCATATAATAAATTGAGGAGAAATCTCAATTCTACCTGGTAAAATAACAGAAAATATAAAGAAATGTTTATAAGTAAAACATTTAAATACAGAACAGTTTTAAAGAATCCCAACTTGTTACTAGTAATACGCTAATTATATAATATTAAATAAAACATAATTTATTGATAAGGAACTAAAAGTAATATATCAAAATATTGTTATAAGTGAAATTGCTATAGATGATTTTCACCTTGTTTTAAATTTTCAATATTTTCCAAATGTTAACAATGAGTTTATATTCCTTTTATAGTGGTGGTAGGAGGTAGGAGATGGTAAGTTTTACCAAAAATAATGATGATTGAAAGGGAGGAAAAGACTTAAGAAATTCTAGCTCAAGGAAGACAGATAATGGAAAGAGATGAAATATGAAGAGGGAAAAAAAAACCAGCATGAAAATGAACCCTTCACTGGAAGCACCACAAAGTAGCATAACAGTGCTGAAGTGTAGTAAGGGACATAGGTGGCAGGATTGAGAAAGAAAGCAAGACATAAATGAAGACTGAAAATGATAAAACATTATTGAAAGAATTTGGGAAGATCTAAACAAATAGAAAAACATCCCGTGTACATGGATTGGAAGACTTAATGTTATTAAGATGGTAATAATCCCCAAACCAACATACAGATGCAATGCAATCTCTATTAGAACCCCAGCTGAGCTCTTTGTACAAACTGACAAGCTAATTCTCAAAGTTATATGCAGTCGCATGCCACTCAGAACAGCCAAAAATAATCTGAAATATAAAGTCAGAGGACTCATATGTTCCAATTTCAAAACTTGCTACAAAGCAATGGTAGCTGAGGTAGTATACAATTGGCTCAAGTACAGTCATAAATAACAATAAAATGGAGTCAAGAGTCTGAAAATACATCTATATGCTTATTATGGTCAGCTGATTTCAATAAGGGTGCCAAGATCATTTAGTGGACAAAGAATAGTCTTTTTAACAAATGGTGCTGGAACAACGGGACAGCCAGTTAAGATAATCCTTAGCTAACACCAAATACAAAATGTCACTCAAAATGAATAAAAAACATAAATGTAAAGCAAAACCATAGTAATTCTTCATGACGTTGGATTTGGTAAAGGATTCTTAGATATGACACCACAAACAAGAGCAACAAGAGAAAAAAGAAAAATTTGACTTCATGAAAACTGTGCTTCAAATGACACATTTAAGAAAGTAAAATGATGGGGGCTTCCCGGTGGCACAACCAGTTAAGACGCAACCTATGAGGCTTTCCGCAGCCTCTGCTTAAGATGCAACCTATGAGGCTTTCAGCAGCCTGTGCAGCATGAGTTCGATCCCCTGCTGGCCAGGAAACAAGCCACACGGCGCGGCAGACCTCTCCTGACTCACCCACTGCTCCCCTCAGCAGTGTACTTCGGTCAATCTGCCTGTTCTGTTCCCTGCTCCATCTCTGGTGAATCCTCTCACCCCCCCAAACCTCTGGCCTGTACACCATAAATAAATAACAAATCAATAAATAAATCTTTAAAAAAGAAAAGAAAGTAAAATGACAATAATAGAATAGGAAAAATATTTACAAAATATTTACAAATCCTATGTCTGATAAGGGACATGTATCTGGAATACATAAAGAGTACTCAAAACTCAATGATAAAAAAGAAAATTCAATTTAAAAATTGGGCTTGCTCCAATTTCAAAATAAGAACATGAAAAGATGCTTGATATCAATTATACAAAAAAAGAAAAGCCATAGGAAAATAAACTAAAGAAAAAGATGCCACTTCAAACCCATCAGGATGGTTAGAATCCAAAAGTTAAATAATAACAAGTTTTGGCAAGATATAGAGAAATTGAAGCCCTCACACCTTGTTGGTAGGAATGTAAAATTCCAGGCTTTTGGGAAAATATTTTGTCAGCTCCCGAAATGAACTAGGCATAGAGTTACCATATGTTCTAACAACTCTACTCCTAGGTAAATACCTAAGAGAAATGAAAACACATGTTTACAGAGAAATCTGTACACAAATGTTTAGAGCAACATTATTCATAATAGCTAAAAAAGGTAGGAACAATCTAAATGGCCATCAATGGATAAATAAACAAAACACGGTATAGCCATACAAAGGAACATTATTTAACTATAAAAAAGAATGTAGAACTGATACCTGTTACAATATGGATGAACTTTGAAAACATTATGCAAAGTGAAAGAAGGCTGTCATAAAGGCCATAACATATGATTTCATTCATATGAGAAAGTCCTTAATAGGGAACTCTATAGAGTCAAAGTAGATTAGTGGTTGCATGGTGCTGGTGTAGGTGTAAGGGGAGCAGAAAGATAAAGTCGTAGACAGCCAAAGGATGTAAAGCTTTTTCCCTTAAGGTAATGAAAATGTTCTAAAATTGACTGTGGTGATGATTGTACATATCTGAATATACAAAAGACCAGTGAAATATATACTTTAACTGAGTAAACTACTTATCATGTGAATTACATCTCAATAAAGCTATCAAGAACAAGTAAGTAGAATGCTGAGGGAAAAGGTTAAAAGGATTAACTACTTTTGTGCTAAAGAAAATAAATTAAAAAATGGAATTGCAAGCTATTTAGAAAATCTCTACAAGAGTCTTAATCCAATAGATACAAACAGTGTTCAGAAAAACCTTGTAATTTAAACACTTGGGAAGAATGAAAAAGAACATTATAAGCATCCATCATACAAAGATAGGAAAATAATCCCAAAACAAATACCTAAGGAAAGCTAAAGACTCAAAACAATGAAAAATAAATAATAAAGGGGGGAAAAGAAATAGTAAAACTAATTTTTAAAAAATATTTAAGAGGTAGTTCTAACAAGAATAAAGGGCAAGACTTCATATACAGAGAATAAAAAGTTATTAAATAAATTGATAATGTAGTCACAAGTATAGGAAATTTGTTTTAAATCATAAAAAAATCTCCACACAAATAATTTTGAAAAGTTAGATGAAATGGATTATTTCCA